TTGTAATACTAATATAATATAGTATTTCTTATGTATATGACGAATAGACATAAAATGCTTATATTTGCATTTTTTGCTGGCTCTGTTGCTAATGCCTCTTTCATTTTTTTTAATCATAGGGTCAACAAGGTCAGAGAGGGACAGACGGACTTCCAGGACAGAAAGGTGAACTGGTGAGTAACTCAGGAATATATACTAATGGACAGTGTGCTGTATTATTGAGCTACTTTTGTTATTTTCACAAAGGGTCCACCAGGAAATCCTGGCTATCCTGGAACCATGGGACCGCCTGGACTCCCTGTAAGTGGTTTCAAAAATTGACCATTGACAATTGACCCGATGCAGAGACATCATATATTAATGTTTTGACATGTTGTATAACTCCTAATTGTTTGATTGGTGGGTTAAAGTCATAATGCTTTTTTCCCAGGGCCTTAAAGGAGAGCGTGGCAGTCCAGGAACTGCAGGGCAGAAAGGAGATTCTGTAAGAACGCACTCTTTAAACAATGTTAAACTTCAAGTGTCCAGTTTATTCATTGACTTTGAATGGGATCTATTTTTATGTCAGTAATTTATTTGATCAGAAATACAGTAAAACAGTAATTATGTGAATAATACAAAATATAAAATATATTAAAATAGAAAACATTTTAAAATGTTTTTTTCCCCCTGTGATGGCAAAGCTGATTTTTCAAAAGAACAGCATTTATTTAAATAGGTATTTTGTAACACAGTAACTGTGTCATTTTGATCAATTTAATGTGTCGTAGCTGAATATAAGTATTCTTTAAAAAAATCTTACTGACCCTTTTGAATGCATAAATACATACTTTTCAGAGCACCTCAACCTATTGTTTTGACTGTCCTTTGGGGGATCAAGGCATGCAGGAGCATTCACAAAGGAAATCTTATAATGACTTGGTAAAGGGTTTGAAACTTTGCACTGTTTTTAAATAGGGTCCACCGGGATCTCCAGGTTATCAAGGACCAGTCGGCCCAACAGTGAGTAAACATCCGGTTTTAATGCCTTTATTTTTTCTGCTTCACATATATAGACTCTTACCTGAAGTCATGACCCTCAACAGCACTGCACTTCACTGCTTTGTCTTTTTTATCATTGGGATTTTCAAAACAAACCTTATGTCTATCTTGGACGGCTGATAATCATGCATGATATATACAAACCCGATTCCAAAAAAGTTGGGACACTGTACAAA